AAGCAATAGTCATAACAGTGGGGTTTGGTGTCACAATAAATGAGTTAAAAGATGCAGGTCAAAACTGAACAAATAATTTGAGTAAATACACCAGTTCAGCTCTCACGTGATGTAGATACTTTTGCACAAAAGATTAAATACCTACCAAGAAATTGGTTAAATTCTGTTGAAATGAGTTAGCCTCCTCCATCCACCTTCAGCCAAATTAAGCACCTTCATGATAAAACGTATCCTTCAACTCTCCAACTCTATCACTCATTAAAGATATGACAGCAAAAATAAATGACACAGGATGTCCCTTTCTTACTCCCTGTGTGCCGGGGTTACGTGCTGAAATAATTATCCATTTCTAATTTTATAGCAAGGTCTTCATGTTTATTTTGGTTCTTAGCTTAATATCAGTGTTAGTTCTATCACTGTTGTCTGATAATAAGAGCAGTCAAACATCCGCTTTCCCTGGCAAACAATAAGCTTTAGGGCATTTCTTAGTCATTAAACAAATACATTTATCATAATCTTGGCCATGTTACAAAAGTATGTCAATAGGGCTGACCTGTGGGTAAGGCTATCAAAGAACGAACGTCACTGAAAACAGGAACTTTTGTTACAAATGAAGACGATGATTGTGCACTTTGAAAATTCCACATGTATGCAAATAGCTTTTGATCATCAATTGTAACCAAGATGCCTAATCAACTCCTTTATGTTGGTCTAGGAGAATTCACTTCATCAGCTGAATTTGGGCAGATTTCAAATTCTAAACTGAACTTTACACGAATCCCAAATGAACTGAAAAGTGTGATAGCCACACTGGTTCTATCCATTCAGAATTTGGTTTGCTGAGCCTACTGCTAACATCAACTGCCATTTATCACTAACTTTAAATCCCTAATTTAGAATGTGAGAGTTGTTTTTTTTTTGTTTTTTTTGTTTAAAGGAACACTAGAGGCACCGCTTTTCCATCTTTTTAAGGCTCTCCCAACAATTTTTGGAGCTTCCAAATTTTTTCTAACTGTATTTTCAAACCGAGCTAAAGTCGAAAATCGTCCAATCGGAAAAAACTCAGAAATTTATCCAAATCGATTGGTACGCGGTTCAGTGGGTTCCCGGAATGGACAAATTTGACAAACCCGAGGGCAAGGATTAAATTGGCCCTGGCCTATTATGGGGGACCTTTGCAGAACCGGAATTTGGGAGTGCGGCAGAGTCACGGCTTTGGGACATATTTGACTACAGAGAAGCCGTGCTGGATCTCCCTATGGCCGAAGACCTAAGGCCAGACCTGATTGAAATGGCTGTCCAGGAATGGGAACTGGAGCAGGATTACCAGCACCTGTTCAGCTCCAGTCAGTCACCCTATACCCTGCAAGTACCACCAGAGCAGTGGGAGATCGAACAGAATTATGCGGACTTATATGATCAAGTGACACTGCCTGTTTCTAACCTGATGGGGCTTATGCACTGTACACCATTGGGAGCATTGAGTTTCGTTCCCCCTCCCCAACAACTAAGCCTGTCATCAGGAGACCTGCATTCGGTACCTCCTACTCCCCAACCAGCCCCTGAAATGAGGGACCTTATTGACTGGTCCTGGGAAGACCCACAGATGGCAGGTGGAGATGGAACTGCGGTCTCTCTACCGGCCCTACAGGGATGCTGGGCAGTTGGCCCAGATCCCCAGCGGCAGAATATTCCACTAGGAGGGGAGAGTCTCATTCCCCCTCCCCAGCTGCAGCCTAGCCCACCAAGGGGAGACAGTAAGCCCCACAACAGTGCAGATGGGACCGTAGTCTCTGCACCTACACCACTGGGGATAGGGACAGTCTGTCCTGGTCCCCAACAGCAGGACAATGCTGTTGGGGACCAGGAGACAGTCGTTTTTCCCCTACAATAAGAGAGGGTGTCGCAGGGAGAGGAGCATGTTCCCCCCTCTCCCCAGCGGCAGTCTACGGTTCAGAGAGAGGATCTGGTTACCCCCTCTCCCCAGCTGCAGCCTAGCCCACCAAGGGGAGATGATAAGCCCCACACCTGTGCAGATGGGACCGTGGTCTCTGCACTTACAGTACAAGGGGTAGGGACGGGCGGTCCTGTCCCCCAAAAACAGAACTGTGTATCCAGAGGGGAGACAGTCGGTCTCCCCCTCCCACAACCAGGCTCCAACCTGGCTACTTCTGTGGTAGCTCTGGCACCAGGGCAGAGTACCGCTGGTCTCTGCCCACTCAGCAACCCACCAAGGCAGCCCACCAGTCCCCCGCACAGCCGTGGTAAGGCACCTGGACATGGAAAAGTTTCTACTTTATCAAGGTGTAGTAACCATTTAATGAGGGTGGGCTGTACTGCTGTTTGTGCTTCATGGGTGGATTGCTGGACTAACCAGGGCACTGACTGGCAGGAGGTCAGATACCCTGTTAGTCTGTCTGGTAAAGGGGAGAAGTGTGGCAGAATCAACCTCGCCACTGTCCACTGGAGAGGCCTGGTTGCTCGCCTGCTCCCTTTAGACTATGGTCCTGCATTTTAAACTTTTATTTTACCTGCAGAAAGCTTTATTCGTGCCTTTCTGCGGACTGTTAAAGCCATGCTACCCCAGATAGCTATGCCATGGAGCCCAGCCTTTGGCTCCATGGCGATTGAACTGTAGTTATTGGGGGAATTGGATTGTAAGCTGACTGCCAGGAGTGTAAACCTTTCATATGGTTTTTCCTGTTCAGCTGTTTCCAGTATTCGGGAGTTTCCTGTTCGGGAGTTGGAGAATTTGTGTAGTTTGCAGTTCGGGAGATTGGTGATTGCAGTAGCTGTCTGTGCATCTGAAAGGGGAGTGTCGCCTAAACGTTTTTTAACCTCATGTGGGCAAAACGGTCCGTTACATACACAATATATACAAAATTTACCATAGAACAGGCAGGAAATATATAATCAGGGACGAGCTGGGCCGGGGGGGCAGGGAGGCAATTGCCCCCCAGGCCGCTCTAAATCCCTTTAAAACCGGCCGGTGCAGGGCCGGTCCTAATGCTGCAGCCGCCTGAGCGCTCTGTAAAGAGCCTCAGGCGGCTGCAGCGCTGCTTCTCCCCTCCCCTCCCCTGTAGCGTGGCCGAGCTCCTCTCCGGTCCGCGGTGCCTGGCCGGAGTGATAGGAAGGTGCACACTCAGTGTGCACTTCCTGTCAGTCTGGCCAGGTACAGGAAACAGAAACTCCTGATGCTACTGATTAGCATAACATCAATATCCGTTATAAAACCAGGAAAAGGTGGGCATGGATGGTGAACTGATTTGGTGGTGCAATGGGCCACTTGACTGGTTTTGTCCCCTAGGCCTAAGGCTGCCAGCCCTCCCCTGTATATAATCACCTATTTCCAACAACTCACATGAAGAAAATACAATTGAACGCACTGATTATTTCCTAATTAAAATGTGGAAGAGAAAAGTAATAGCAATTCTACATAAGAAGCATTGGTTCTATTTTAAACTGGGAAGTGGCAATATGAAGTGCATATTAATTGATTTATAGTCATCCATATTGTATTATTATTCCTCAACCCAAAATCCCTACCTTGATCTGAGATCGAGTTCAATCACTTCTTTAGCGCACTATGAGATTTTTGACTGGAATAAAAAAATCTGATTATATTGAATTATTCATGTGGCTTTAACCTAAAAGGCTTACATCTACTTAGAGAGTCTTGGCCACTATAATTTCCCCTTATGTTCAATAGGTACAATGCTGTGATCAGTGTACATTATATTTCAATTTGAAATGAAGAAAAAACTGAACAAATGATTGTCAAAGCAGATTTATTGGCAAATCTAGGCTCATTTCCCTGTGTGAAGTTTAAATATTCAAATAATTAGCAAACAAGGCATTCACTACTATCGCCCACATTTAGCAAATCATAGTTCAACGTTTAATCTATTGTTGAATGTTCTAAGTCGTAATCACATTTCATTTTCAAATACTATTTCAATAAGAAAAAAAAACACTTGAGTCACTTGAGCTTGTTTAATCTTGCATTCTTTTTTTTTTTCTTTAGTTAAAAAAAAAAAAAAAGATTCAACTGAGAAAATAACACGTTTGGTAAACTGAAAAGTCACGATAAATTACCTTAACAGCACAATTACAGGAGCGAAATAATACAGTGTATTGAATTTGCATAGCAACGTGATGCAAAACTAAAATGTAAATCTTAACGGCCACATTATGATGTAAATAAATGTTAAACTGGGTACTGGGAGCCCAATCTGAGAGTTTGCCAACTATGCCACTAATTGACTCACCAGACATCAAAGAGTTGAGATGAGTCTGGCCACACACTTAATACCCAACGTGGCTTTCAGATAACCATACCACTTCCCACCATTTTCGAACACTTTGCGGTTTAATTGATTTCCACATGGGAATATTTTAACAGACTTGTTGAAAAGGTTTTAAGAGCAAGCATTCAAACGAGCCGCCAAAATTATAGATGATTTCTACATTTGGATTATCAGAATGAAAAAAAACCTGGAGAATATTTTTTTTAGTTAAAATATGTTAAATAAGCCAAAGTAACAGTATATTCTTGGAATAAAAACAGAAAATCCATAGAAATATCCACAAGCATAAACATACAGTATAATATACAGTTTCAAAGAACTGTTACTGGAATCGTATTGATCTCGACTGTGAGCAAGAAACGAATTAACAATACAGTCTGCTCGTTTTACTTTCTTCCAAAGTCTTCCTGGTTTCCCTAGTAATCAAAATAGCCATGTGCATAACCTAGTTTTAGTGTTAGTAAATTCTTTATCTGTTTCAGCACTTGTCACTGTGGGTTAACAGCAGACCCAGTTTACAACCGACTTTTCCATAAAAAGTTCAATTTCAATCTTTTTTAATAAACGTTATTAAATATTCTAGAAAATGTAGATGATGGTATTGTGATTAATCCGGTGTCCCAGTTTAATAAGATGAAGTATGTATATAGTGTGTATTATTGTGGATGACCCCCGGGAAGTGGAGTCAGGATAAGGAAATCAGGCGCAGGGTCTACCAGAGTTGGCTGCAGTAAAGGAAGTTCCCTGAGTGGATTGAAATTTGTCCAGCTTAATTACAACATTTCCTTTTACATTTCCTCCTGCTTCCCACACATGTCTGAAAAAAATAAAAAGGTTTTATTAAAGAGTTACTCCAATGTTAATGACAGCCTCTGCTTTTCGATGGTCATGGAGAAAGGAATCTATATATACAGCGTTTCTGCTTGAAGCTATGAACAAACAGAGATATCTGTACTTTTTTGCTGGAGGCCAGTTGCTCCCTCTCACACATGACTTAGACTGCCAAATGTTAATTTTGTGCAAAAATGACATCTGTCATCAGCATGCACTGTGTGCTGGCAAAGATGAAATGAGGGTCTTCCCCTTCAGGTGGCGCTGGGAGCGTCCCTGCAAGGGGAAACTTGAATATCCCCTCCCTACTTTGTGAACTTTCTCAGCCCTCCCTGCATTTTTAGCATTTGTTTAATGTTTTAATGTTTACTTAAAGGACCACTATAGTGCCAGGAAAGCAAACTCGTTTTGCTGGCACTATATAGTCCATAGGTCCCCCCCACCCTCATGGCCCCCCTCCCGCTGGGCTGAAGGGGTTAAAACTTAACTTTCTCCAGCGCCAGGCTCCCTCTGCGCTGGGGAACTCTCCTCCTCCTGCCGAAGTCAGCACCGAATGCGCATGTGCGGCAAGAGCCGCTGTCAGGTTATATCTGCCGGTTTCGCCGAATTAAGTGACTTCCGGGTTGACGGAGCTCTGCCCCGCCCCTTCTCTGACGCGGTCTCCCCACACTACATAGGAAGACTGCGCCAGATTCAAGTTGCTGGATTATTGAACAAGTGCCTGTGAACCTCTTACCGGCTACTCAATTTCAATTGAAGCTCCTCCGTGTACCGAAACCGCTCTGAAAACAACTACTCTCCTTCTCCACTCCTCGACCTCGGATTGTTAAACGGACTTCTGCTCCTTCCCCTAAGGAACTGATTAATTTGAACTCTCCAGTTTCCTGAAAACTGCCTCTTAAACTAAGTACTTTTTCCTTCAATCCAATTGCTCTCAGTTGCAAATAAGAAACTGCCTCTTAAGCTAAGTACTTTCTCCTTCAATCCAATTGCTCTCAGTTGCAAATAAGAAACTGCCTCATTGTTAAACTCTCCTGAAGCTAATTCTACTACATTTAATTCAACCTAATTCTGCATGCATTCTCTGCACTATCCTTAATTAGGACTGCTTGGCTTGTGCAAAACTTCAGTGGCTTATTTTTTCCTGCAACTAACAACCTGCTATAAGGGTTTAAAGCTACAGTAACCACTCCTGCAATTCAATAACAAAAAAGAATAAAATTATAAATTGATGTAATTAAAAGTTTTTCTGCAGTTGCGTTCCAGTAGTTTAGCATTACAGCCGCGCACATTCAAACCACCCATAGGAAAGCATTACTCAGTGCTTTCCTATGGACATCAGTGTCTTCTCACTGTGATTTTCACAGTGAGAATCGCAGAAACGGCCTCTAGTGGCTGTCAGGGAGAAAGCTACTAGAGGCTGGATTACCCCTCAGTGAAACAGAGCAGTTTCTTTGAAAATGCTATGTTTTCAGCTGCAGGGTTAAAACTAGAGGGACCTGGCATCCAGACCACTTTATTGAGCTGAAGTGGTCTGGGTGCCTAAAGTGGTCCTTTAAAGCTCTCCCTTTCTCCAGCTCCACTCCCACCCTCCTCTCCCCAGGTCAGCTGCCATGTGCCTGCATGCACTATGAGCCTGCAAGAACGGTCCATCCAACAAATGTTACCTATGAGAAGCATTTGATTAGACCTCAGAGTGAAGTGGCATGACTAGAGATGGACTGACAGCCTTCACAATCCCTGTACAAAATGAAGTCCTAGGCCACTTGAAAGTGTATAGACATTTCAATTGTTACATATAAATGTACATATTTTTGGTTACTTATTTACTTGTATGTATTCATGGTTTCATAAAGTGATAGTAGTGAGTATGATAGATGTCTGTTGGTGTGAGTGAATGTTGGAATGTTTTTATTCAGTGTCAGTGTGTGGATGAAGTAGGATGAATGTTGGAATGTTTTTATTCAGTGTCAGTGTGTGGATGAAGTTGGATGAATGTTGGAATGTTTTTATTCAGTGTCAGTGTGTGGATGAATTTGGATGAATGTTGGAATGTTTTTATTCAGTGTCAGTGTGTGGATGAAGTTGGATGAATGTTGGAATGTTTTTATTCAGTGTCAGTGTGTGGATGAATTTGGATGAATGTTGGAATGTTTTTATTCAGTGTCAGTGTGTGGATGAATTTGGATGAATGTTGGAATGTTTTTATTCAGTGTCAGTGTGTGGATGAATTTGGATGAATGTTGGAATTTTTTTATTCAGTGTCAGTGTGTGAATGAAGTGTCATGTGTGTTAACGAAGGGGTGTAGTGGTTTGGTGCAAGTGTTTATCATTTGCTTTTGAGTTACTGTTCATCTGTCTTCCATGTTTGTATCCATCTTGTCCCTGCCTGAATCTCTCCCAGTCACCCTCTTTTGTGTCATCCGATATCACCCCATGTTTGTCTCCCATTGTCTCCACTTGTATTTCTGCCTTATCTCGATCCACATGTCTCTCTTCTGTTGACCACACTTTAATTTCTCTTCACCATCAGACCCACTTGTCCAGTTGTATCACACTCATCTCTCCCACATTAATTATATTATTTAGCGTAAAAATAGTGGACAAGGGTAATAGTGCCCAACAAGGCATTAAAAAATAAAAATAAGCTACACACCTATGGCGCAAAACTCTGGGATCAGTTACATCGACACTGCAAGCAGCGGGAATAGCATACAAGTGGGGACCACTGGGAACCTTAATAGCATCGCAGAGGGAGCCGCTCACACACTCACCTCGATAGCAGAGGCATCCAAATTCTTCATAGCACTGGGACTAACTGACCAAACAGCAATCCCAAATGCAGCAACCTACACGGAAACCTGGGACCCTGCCACAGTAATCCCATTTGTCCCGAGAGCCTAAGGATCGCGAGACACAGTTACCTGAATCCATGGAGAGATGACACTGCTCAAGAACTGTCTCACATAACACCCTGCGAATGCGTACCTGTTATGTTAAGTTTTTCTCTCTCTATATACTCTTGTATTTCTTTTGCCTTTAAGCTTGTTTCTAATAGTATTGCTCATTGGCGACTGGCTAACACGATAGATATGTGACATAAAGACGAAAGTCCACATGGCAGACAACTAGCGACTGATGGACTTTCCTTTCCCTCACTTTCCCTATCCCCCGCGAACCCCTTGGTTAAGGGTACACTTCACTATCATAGAGGCAACACTCTCTCGTACATATCCTTACCAAGCGATACAATCATAACACTACACACACACAATCTCCGATACATGCCTCTACACGCCAATCTAAACCACAAATACTGGGGTTACTTACCTTCACATTCATACTCAACTATATGCTACACATCCTTTAGTCTTGGCTACTGGACAAAGCACGCGTATTCCTAATATACCTTTGAGGGACCCATGAGACATGACTCCTACACAATCAGTACTTCTAGCACATATACCTTCTCGGGCGACCCTACCTTGAACTTACTTGTATATTAAAAATTGTGCTGTGTATTAGCCAAATAAGTATCGCATTCACGTACAACTTTACTGTATTACGGCCTTATATCTACCATGTTATCCGCAAAGCACTACTAAAATAAAGAATTTTTAAAAATAAATAAATAAAAATTGAAAATTTTTACTGAAAAAGGGTTATAGGAACCCATTAAAGTGCTTGAAATTAAAAAACACACATATATTGAGGAAGTCTAAATCTTTGGTTTCACTTTAATCTATGGTGTACGTACACAGCACAGATGCCAGTAAAATGTCCTCGCTTAATAGACAATTCTTAGAGTTGTACACCAAAATTATATATGGGTTTGATGGTTGTGGGGAGGTTTTCGGGACCCATTTAAAAACTAATTTGGAGTTTATTCATTAAACAATTTTGGCTAATTGACAGGATGTTTCAAGATAATTCCAATGGTATTGTTACATTTTGGCTATTATTATCAAATTGGGAAAATAACAGTGTAATGAGAGTTAAAACACTTCTTTCATTTCTGAGTATTTTATAAAAGTAAAATCTTTATAAAATACTGATGTTGATATCCATAGAGAATATGTTGTCTTACTGCAAAGCAGAAGTTGACAAAAGGTGGACCGTCTGTTGCTGACTTTTGTCAATGCCAAAAAGTTGTCACTACCAACAGGTGAGGAAAAAGACTTCCCCTAAGGATCTTTTGAGTAATTTCATGGAGGATCCCTTGGTCTCTTGCACAAGAGTACAATATTGACACAACCTCCTGGTAGATAAAATGCCAGGAACTGAAGAAATTTATCGGTAGAAAGATGTTGGAGTCTCCAACCATTGCACTCCATGTGAGGATTTTATTTTTGAGGGTCTTTGCAAAATATCACTCAGCTCTAATTATATGTGTATCATTACCAATATTTTGACTAGTTTTACAAAAAATGGGGACCTCTATGAACCACATAGCTAGCCTCTATTGCAGCAGCACTGATTATGTAAAAATGATACTTCCACATTATCCAGTGGCAATATGTCCAACCTTGAATGGCAATCACTGGTTAGTCCATCACTCTCTGCCTATTATTGCCATTCAAGGTCACTTTAATAGGTTGCAGTGGTTATGGTGCCTGTTAGAAATACATGGCTTGGCTATTACAGTATATCTTACATTTCGCAATTACTTTGTAGGTTACTTTGTAACTGAGTAGTTACAAACCTGTCCTCATGCATGACAAAAAATAATAAAAATAGCTTTTAAAGAAATGTATATGTCACACCCTACATGAAACTCATATAGATTTTCACATTTTGTCATGCATGAACAGGCTTATTAGGTGTCTTAAACCTTACAAGCAATTTTTATTGCAAAAGAGATTAAGATTTTTCTTTTCTTCTCAGCTGACACAAAGCTATACATTGATTTCCAGCAGATTTAATGTAGACATAGCCTGTGGGCAAATTGTTAAGTATATTCTATAAGTTTATCTTGTCAACACGTTTATCCATATTCTCTCAATGTCAATCTCCGTAAGTTTCCAAAAGTGCAATCGTAGGTTCCCAATAAACCAGTACCACTGGGCTACTTACTAACTTGGCTTTTTTTGCTACAACTCAAATGCACCTCTTGCGTTTCACGGTTTCATGGTTTCACCACTCCTATTGTCCACATTGAGTACAGGAACACGGACTGCGTCGAGTACATGTTGTGGGTTAAAAACTTTTCATGTAATTTGACATTTGAATTTCTATTTTATTAAGGTGAAAAAGCTCCGTCAATATATCTGCAGAGCTACTCGTAATGTCTCCAAGTTTACGCATCATTGACTTTAATGTTGGCTTAGGTCAAAAGATCCAATCATTGGAGACCAGGATGTCACAGAGAAGTCAAAAGGAACATTCCACAATAAGAGTATATAACTCGCTTCTCACTTTGTTAATATATAGTCCATAATAGCTGTTAGTAGATGAAGTCAAAGACAATAATTTTTCCCTGGTATTGTGTTACCATAAGAATTATTTCCAAGTTTTCGGCACACTATATTCGGCACTCTGCTAGCTCTTTTTTTTTGTTATATTAGCATTTTGGTTCATATGAAACCTGTGACATGAAAGCTTGATTTAGGTCTCAATCTTGGAGCTCTCAGCCCATCAACAGCAAACCGTATAAACCTTCTTCACACTGTAGGACAGAGACATAGTAAACCAGGTGGCAGTGGTGTCCGAAGCCAGAGCCCCAACTTCACGGTTAAAGGTTTGCAAAATGATTTAACCCTAATATGGTGCCTGGAAACTCATGCCACCATAACAACTTCTGACAAATAATCTTAAATTGTTATTGAGCTTGAGAATACCCAATTAGTAGTTCCAAGCAACAATCCATGTTAATATTTCAAAATTGTTCTTCCACTGTTGATCACACACAATAGTATTCATTGTTTTTAATGTTAATTTTTAAAAAGCACAAAAACTTTACAAAATTGAGTTTCAGGTCTCTATACAGGCTTTAGAAAATATCCACTGTCTACAAAAGGAAATAGTAGATTTTCAATGAATCCAAATTCTTATACAAATGGAAACTACTTTAAGAAAGTCCACATTGTGTTTTACTGAGTTTTTACTCATTAAGAAAACTTGGAGTGGGAGTTTGTTTGTTGTTTGTTTTTTTATTCTTCTAAAATCAAGATATGGCAGCATTACAACATATCATGTAGGATTCACACAGATTAAATAAAAGTAAAAAAAAAATAATTACACAAATAATTACCATTTTTTTTTTTTTTTGCATGTAAACCTAGAAGTGATTTATGATTCAAATAGGGAGTTGTCACTTTACAAAATAAGTATATTGCCTACTGTTAACTGTTAACACCCTCTGTCTTGCAAGTGATTTGTCTCGAGGGCATCTTTCTTGTCCATTTGACATAATAGAAAGACTATATTTACTATTTGATTTTTTGGGGCAGTTAAGTCATAAATATGATAAGAAAAGGACAAAACAATCATTATTAAGGCTTTTTTTCCACACAGTTAATTTATAACTTTGTACAATTTTTCTATACGTTGCATCTGGTTAATACATATCTCCCCTTATTGAGATTTGTGAAGACATGAGCTGTATTTTTTATTTGTTTCCTTTTTGATGGTGAGACTGTTTTTCATTAGAGTTGTTAATCTTGTAATTGTTTTAAAGCCTAAAAAACCCAATAATTGAAAAAAAATGATGTGGAAAGCATTTGATGAAAGCATTCCATCAGATGATCAGAACTCCTTTAAACGGACACTGTATGCACTATGAATATTTCATCTCATTGAATTGGTTATAGTACTTGGAGTTCCCTGGCACTATCCCTCCATTCAGTGTGAAACGTTTTCCAAGCAGCTTAACACTGAATGAGTGTCTCACAGCCCCGCCCCCACTGCAGGTATAGCTAAGGCAGAGATTTCAATCTCCCATAGTCATACCAATCTATACCAGCAATGGGCAACAGACAGGCTAAGGGCGGTCAGCTGACACTCTGAACCAATCACACCACCCATTGCTGCTCAGGTTAATGCATCCTCATTAGCACAAGCAGCACAGACAGGACAGGCTGCAGGGGACTCTTGTTTAGAATTAAACCAGTAAAAATACTGAATGGAATAACAGTGCAAGCGATAACCACTTCAATAAGATTGAAGTGATTAGAGTACTACAGTGTCCCTTTAATTTCACTATTTATGGAAATTGAATATAGTTTTTGAACCATTTTGGAATCTTAATAACCCAGCTTGCTCACAGGAAACCCAAAGTATTTTTTTTTTACTGAATTTAAAGGGACCCTATAGGCACCCAGACCACTTCATCTCATTATAGTTGTCTGGGTGCAGTGTCCCAGTCCCACTTAGTCCTGCAATGTAAATCAATCAGACAGACACTAGAGGCACTTCATGGTAGCTAATGGACATTTGGTCCCCGAACTGATGCTGGACATCCATGTGCTCTGCATGTGGACATCCAGCATCAGTTAAATGCCCTTAGGAAAGCATTGAGACAATGCTTTCCTACAGGGAGGGCCTAATGTACTCAAAGTGCTTGCCACACATTAGATACCCCTGTTGGTTGATGTTGGAGGAGGCGGAGCAGCGACCCAGCGCAGAGGAATATCGGCGCTAGAATCGAGTAAGTGACTAAAGAGAGAGGGTCCAAATGACTCTACACTGTTAACACTATGGAATCCTTTTAAATAACAGAATTCTGATTTACAAAATAAAAAACTATATCACAAGATTTAAGCAATTATTAAATCATGGTGTATTGCATACAAAACAGGACCTGTTTAAATAGACACTCTAAAAGGGGGATTACCCACTTTTTAATGTATTATATACACTGATGAGCCATAACATTAAAGCTACTGACAGGTGAAATGAATAACATTGATTATATTGTTACAATGGCATCTGTCAAAGGGTAGGATATATTGGGCTGCAAGTGAACAGCCAGTTCCTGAATATGTGTGTTGTAAGCAGGAAATCTGAGTGATTTTGACAACTGCCAAATAGTGATGGCTAGATGACTGGTTAAAACATCTCCAAAACGGCAAGGATTGGTGGTTAGTACCTACCAAAACTGATTCAAGGAAGGACAACCGGTGAACCAGCGGCACGGTCATGGGCACCCAAAGATCATTAATGCACGTGGTCTGACCACACAGAGGAGCTACTGTAACTCATATTAATTAAAAACTTAATGCTGGCTGTAAGGAAATCAAGTATAGCTGAACCGCTTTGATAATTCCTCCTGCAATGTCAGCGTCCAAGGTAGCTCTAAGCAATGAAGTCCATAAGAAATATAACAGCTTCCCAAGATAATTCCCTTGGTAAAGCATACGAATTCCCAAATAACAGTCAGAGTCCAGAATCAGGATACAAGTAGATCTGAGGTCTGGAATCTCCAGCCTGCTTTTTATTAGGGTTACAGACAAGAAATACACACCCAGGGGGAGGCATTAAATCACCAATCAGGTATAGGTTACAGCCCATACCTCCCTCCCCTCTGATAAACAGTTAACTTCATTAAAACGTGCACTATTTTACCCCAGTTCTGGATGTACCCCAAAAACAGGGGGTACACCTTTAAATTGGGTACCGCTGGATAGTTCTCATTTGTGGGGACAACATGTCAAAAAATCAGTCCATTCGGATGAATGGTTCGGGAGTTATGGAACACTAAAGTTTTGACCGACCGCACGGACCCTCTAGCCGAAAATAGTTCCATAAGTTTTGGCCCTGCGGTCGGTCTCCGTTTAGGCGAATAAAAGAGACGAAAGCCCTGCCATCCATTCGCATCTTTGCGATCGTTGCAATCCCCATACGAAGCTGCATGCAACTACCGAACGGCCGGTGATTCGGTCGTTCCCGTGCGAAGTTCTGGATGTATGGAGGTCTCAGCGGTGTTCGCCTGTTTGCGTATCCGATTTTAGTTCCACGCGTCGACGGGCAAACACCGCTGTTCGCACGTAAAATGGCCGCGGCCACATGTAAAGTGCCGAAATGGCGGCCATCTATATTTTACACAGGGAATTCGCCTGAATCCATCCGAAACTTAGAAATGAAAGTTACATGCCGAATTCCAGCTGAGTTTGGTGAATTAACTGTACAACAAAAGGTAGAAATCCTGATTAACGGAGTCATTTCTTCACACTGCTCCCCTATAAGTCCATAGGTCGGCATACCCGCCTAGACCCTGTCGGGTTGGCTTGGGGATGTCCGATGAAAGTACGTTTTTAGGTGTCCAGTTCGGTCTGGCGGGACAGACCATCCGCATTCCCATTTTGTTTACCCGGACGGTACTGCATGGTAAAATTGTATGGTTGGAGAGCTAAGCTCCACCGGAGTAGCCTGGGGTTGTCACCAGCTACCCGGTTGAGCCATACCAGGGGGTTGTGGTCGGTCATAAGGGTAAACGCTCGCCCATACAGATAGGGCTGAAGTTTCTTGAGGGCCCACACGAGGGCCAAGCACTCTTTTTCTACGGTGGCATAGCTGACTTCTCGGGGCAAAAGTTTACGGCTGAGGTATGCCACCGGGTGTTCCATGCCATCCGCCCCCACCTGGCTTAGTACGGCTCCCAGCCCAAACATGGAGGCATCTGTGTGTATAAGAAATTGTTTAGTGTAATCGGGTGCTGCCAACACAGGGGCCTCACTCAATGCCGCTTTGAGCTTCTGGAAAGCGTCCGTGCACTCTGGGGTCCAGGAGACCTGTTTGGGAAGAGCCTTTTTGGTAAGGTCCGTGAGGGGCTTGGCCAGGGCGCTATATTCTGGGACGAACTTTCTATAATACCCGGCCGTCCCTAAGAAAGCCAGTACCTGGGTTTTGGTCCGGGGTTGGGGCCAGTTAGCTATGGCCTCTACCTTAGCGGGCTCTGGGCGTTGTCTACCGGAGCCGACCCGGTGGCCTAGATACTGGACCTCGGCTAGGCCTACGTGACATTTGTCGGGTTTCAAAGTGAGCCCTGCGAGGTGGATTCGTTCGAGTACCCTGGACACATGACCTAGATGGTCTCCCCATGTGCGGCTATAGATGGCAATATCATCTAGATACGCACATGCGAAGTCCTGAAACCCCTCCAGGAGCCTATCCGCCATCCGCTGAAACGTAGCCGGGGCGTTCTTCATCCCAAAGGGCATCACCTTAAATTGGTATAGCCCAAAAGGGGTGACGAACGCCGACTTGGGGATGGCCGCAGGCTCCAAGGGGATCTGCCAATAACCCTTGCACAGGTCCAGGGTAGTCAAGTAGTTCCCCCCCGCCATACGGTCTAAGAGCTCATCTATTCTAGGCATGGGGTAGGCATCGGTTATGGTACGGTCGTTAAGCCGCCGGTAATCTACACAGAAGCGCGTAGTGCCGTCGCGCTTCGGTACTAGTACCACCGGGGAGGCCCAAGGACTTTGGGAGGGTTCTATTACCCCTAGCCGTAACATATCCCTTAACTCGGTGAGCATACTCTCACGTACTGCTTCTGGGATCCGATATGGCTGTTGCCGTAGGGGCGTCTCTCCCTGGGTTTCCACACGGTGTACCGCAGCGGAGGTATAGCCGGGGGTAGCGGAAAACATCTCTCGGTATCCCTGCAGCAGTTGAGTAGCCTCCCTTTTCTCCAGGAGGTCTAAATTTTGACCCAAGCTTACTTGGTCAATAGTACAGGGGGTGGTATCCAGTAAGTCAGGAAGGGGTAGCCCTTCACTATCCTCTGTGGCGGGGGCGCACACGGCGCCCACCTCCTCTGTTCTTTCAAAATATGGTTTGAGCATGTTCACATGGAAGGCTTTGGTCAGCCTTTCATCTGAGCATTTGCTCACGATGTAGGTAGTCTCGCTAACCTGTTCCACTACCTTAAAGGGTCCCTGCCAGGCTGCTTGCAGCTTGTCTTTTTTAACGGGCCTCAGAGCCAGTACCTTCTGCCCTAAGTCCAGCACTCTATCCTGGGCCCTCCTATCGTACCACTTTTTCTGGTCCTCCTGGGCCGCCTGCAGGTTCTCCCGAACTGATTCGGTGAGGGCCCGCAGACGGTCCCGGAACTCCAGGACATACTGGACGATAGGGACTCCCCCCTCATCTGTATTGCCCTCCCAGTGTTCCCGTACGAGCTCCAGTGGGCCCCGAACTTTTCTCCCGTACAGGAGTTCGAAGGGGGAAAACCCAGTGGAGGCCTGGGGCACCTCACGGTAGGCAAACAGAAGGTGGGGAAGGAATTTTTCCCAATTCTTGTGGGACTCTGTAAAAGTTTTTAGCATCTGTTTTAGAGTGCCATTGAAACGTTCACAGAGCCCGTTAGTCTGGGGATGATACGGGGCGCTGAACAGGGGTTGCACTCCACAGCTCTGCCACAGTTGTTGCGTCAGGGTAGCTGTGAACTGCGTCCCCCGATCGGAGAGTATCTCCTGCGGGAAACCTACTCGGGTGAATATCTGAATAAGGGCCTCTGCCACGGTCTCGGCCTCTATATTGGTGAGGGCGACTGCCTCCGGGTATCTAGTGGCGTAGTCGACCACCGTTAGAATAAACTTTTTGCCCGACGGGCTGGGGCGACTGAGGGGTCCTATTAAATCCACCGCTACTCGGTGGAAGGGCTGTTCGATGATGGGAGGGGGTGCAGCTTAGCCTTCCGAAGGTCTCCCCTTTTCCCTACCCTTTGGCATACATCACATGTCCTGCAATAGTACTTAAGGTCCTGGGTGGCTCTGGGCCAGAAGAAGGTTTGAGTTAACCTGTCTCTGGTCTTTTTGACCCCTAAATGTCCTGCTAGGGGAATGTCATGACTGAGTTTTAACAACTCAGCCCGAAATTTACGGGGCACAACTAACTGTCTTTTTATGACCTGGGTAGCCCCCTGTCCCACCCCCTCGGTTACCCTATATAGCAACCCCTTATACCACTCAAATTTTTCGTGCGGGTTGTTCTCGGGGGTAGCGGCCGCGGCCTTCCTATAGCCTTCTAATGTGGGGTCAGTACGCTGTTCCTGTTCAAACCCCTGGGGGGTATCCCAGAAGGGTACGGGGGGATCGGGTAAGGGAGGTATTTCGAATCTTACCTGGTTTTCCTCAGAGTGCAGCGGAGCTTCCAGTCTGGCTTGAGCTCGGGTGGTGACCGGGTAGGCCTCGGCAGGGGGGTCTCGGGCTAGTCGAGAGGTTAGGCATCCCACATCATTTCCCAACAAAACCTCGGCGGGCAGTTCTTGCATAATCCCCACCTCCAGCTGTTTAGACCCGGAACCCCAATCCACAAGCATATTAGCGGTGGGCAATTTGTGAATAGCGCCCCCAGCCACCCTTACAGCGACTGTGCGTCCGGTGCGAGCTTGTGCTCTGACCGTGTGGGGCTGTACCACAGTCAAAGTAGCCCCAGAGTCTCTCAGCGCCCGGGCCCCCACGCCATCGACGGTAATCCATTGGCGGTGGTGGTCCCGGTTGTCCCCCTCAGCTTGTACTGGATTGACCTCATGTAATACGCTCCATTGTTCTTCGTGGTTAAGGGCAGGGCCTGTGTGTTCCTGTTGCACACAGTGAGCAGCTGCCCTGGGTTGTTGTGGGGCTGGCCGTTCCCAGCTTCCCCGGTTTAAGCGAGGGCACTGATACTTGTAATGTCCTGGTTGCTTGCAGTAGTGACACCCTGCAGGAGGTCGAGGTGTGTTTGCTGGGTTCGGTGGGGGGTTACCTATGGCAGGTCTAGGTGGAGCCGGGTTGGTTGGAGCTGTGTACTGAGGCTTAAATGGTGGTCTGCTCGCCCCTTGCTCCTTCCTCCTGTTATCCTGGTACTCGTCCGCTAGCCTAGCGGCCTCCTCCACGGTTTTTGGTTTCCTATCTTTTACCCAGTCTTTTATGTCCTCTGCAGTATGATTAAAAAATTGCTCCAGTATCACTAGTTGCAAAGCTTCTTCTAGGGTGGTTGCCTGGCAGCCCTTCATCCAATTGCGGGCTGCCCGCTGCAGGCGAAAAGCCCATTCCGTATGGGAATCTCTCCCAGTCTTTCTCAGGTCTCTAAACTTTTTCCGGTATGCCTCCGGAGTTACCGCATATCTGGCCAACAAAATGTCTTTTATTTTCTCATAATTATGTATGTCCCCCTCAGGTACTGCTCGCAGCGCCTCGGCTGCTCTACCTGACAATTTACTGCTGAAGACTGCAGCCCATTTGGTGGAGTCTAATCCCTCCAGTGCACACTGACGTTCAAAGTCTTGCAAGTAACTGTCAATTTCCATTTCATTGTCAACAAATGATTTAAACGCTGCATAATTTACCTTCTTTGGTATTTCCCCAATACTTCTCGGGGGGTGTAGCAAATCCCCCTGTGACGATCTGTCCCGGTCATCTCGCTCTTTTTGCGCTTGTCTGGCTTGTGCTACGACCTGCAGTATTGCCTCTGAGGATGGATTGGGTCCCAATAAACTGAGTGTCCATCGGATGTCCTTTTGCATCACGGTTTCTTCCTCTTGATCCATCTCTATATTACTGGTATTATCGCTCTGCATTAGCTCCGCAATTAACGTGGCTTTTGTTTTGTTACTTGCCACTCTGCCTCGAGCTTCCAGTAAGTCCTTTAGCGTGGTTCTTTTAAGTAGCTGGTACTGCTGAGCCATTCATTCCTCTGCTTGTTTTGAAATGTCCATTTGGGGTTCGAATCCCTCCGCTTGCCACCAGTTGTAAGGAAATCAAGTATAGCTGAACCGCTTTGATAATTCCTCCTGCAATGTCAGCGTCCAAGGTAGCTCTAAGCAATGAAGTCCATAAGAAATATAACAGCTTCCCAAGATAATTCCCTTGGTAAAGCATACGAATTCCCAAATAACAGTCAGAGTCCAGAATCAGGATACAAGTAGATCTGAGGTCTGGAATCTCCAGCCTGCTTTTTATTAGGGTTACAGACAAGAAATACACACCCAGGGGGAGGCATTAAATCACCAATCAGGTATAGGTTACAGCCCATACCTCCCTCCCCTCTGATAAACAGTTAACTTCATTAAAACGTGCACTATTTTACCCCAGTTCTGGATGTACCCCAAAAACAGGGGGTACACCTTTAAATTGGGTACCGCTGGATAGTTCTCATTTGTGGGGACAACATGTCAAAAAATCAGTCCATTCGGATGAATGGTTCGGGAGTTATGGAACACTAAAGTTTTGACCGACCGCACGGACCCTCTAGCCGAAAATAGTTCCATAAGTTTTGGCCCTGCGGTCGGTCTCCGTTTAGGCGAATAAAAGAGACGAAAGCCCTGCCATCCATTCGCATCTTTGCGATCGTTGCAATCCCCATACGAAGCTGCATGCAACTACCGAACGGCCGGTGATTCGGTCGTTCCCGTGCGAAGTTCTGGATGTATGGAGGTCTCAGCGGTGTTCGCCTGTTTGCGTATCCGATTTTAGTTCCACGCGTCGACGGGCAAACACCGCTGTTCGCACGTAAAATGGCCGCGACCACATGTAAAGTGCCGAAATGGCGGCCATCTATATTTTACACAGGGAATTCGCCTGAATCCATCCGAAACTTAGAAATGAAAGTTACATGCCGAATTCCAGCTGAGTTTGGTGAATTAACTGTACAACAAAAGGTAGAAATCCTGATTAACGGAGTCATTTCTTCACACTGGCCATGATAGAAAGGTGTCAGAACACACTGTATATGTGGTGGGGTAGCTGCAGACCTATTAGCATGCCCATGATGACCTCTGTCCACTGCTGAAAATGCCTTTAATGGGGATATGAGCATCAAAACTGGACTATGGAGTAACTGAAGAAAGTTGCCTGGTCTGATGAATCACCTTTTCTTTTAAATCAGGTGGATGATCGTGTGTGTGTGTGTCGATTACCTGGGGAAGCTATAGCAGCAGCATGCATTATCGGAATAAGGCATGCCAGTGGAGACAGTGTTAGGCTCTGGGCAACGTTCTGCTGGGAATTCATGCAGATGTTAATTTGAAAAGATTATTGCAGACCCATTCATGGCAAAGGTGTTCTCTGATGGCTGTGGTCTTTTTCAGCAGGTTAATGCACCCAGTCATTGTGCAAAATTGTTCAGGAATGGTTTGAGGAACATGATAAAGAGTACACCTTGACCTCCAAATTTCGACATCTCAATCCAATCTGTGGCACTTCGCAACTTGCAGTACTTAAAGGATCTGCTGCTAATGTTTTGGTGCCAGATACAAAAGGACAAGTTCAGAGATCGTGTGGATTTGGCAGCACAAGTAGGATCTACACAATATTAGGCAAGTAGATTTAATATTGTGGCTGATCAGTGTAAATAAGTATGAATGCAGAGATACATTGTCATGTGCTCAGCATGTCAGTTTATGACAGGCATTAAATATTGCAAGAAAATAACAATATTTATTGGATATATAGATAAGTCACAAATGCTTCAAAGCATGAGAGTGAGCAATTTCTAAGATTACAAAAACAAACATTTTAACACATAAATTGCAATACTGCGTGTATATTATTAGCATTTTAAAATTAAAAACACAAGGAAATATTGATTCCCACACAACATTTGGCGGAAATTCAAAACTAGTAAAATTCTTGCATTTTATTACAGTTTGTAAATTTTTGAGTACATTTTATGAATACACTATCATACATAAAAATCAAAAGATAAGAAATAATTGTTAACTTTTTTATATTTTAAAACTTGTTAAAGTAAGCTGTGGCGCCAAAGACAGAATATCCATTATAAAGGCCCATAAACTAAAATAACAATCGCTAAACAAAAACGTTTGTACTTCAACCTTCATACGTACACTATATATAGCGATGAGTGTGAATGTTCTATAGAAGCTATGACAAACATGTTTGAGCCTAGTGCCAAGTCTTCGCCAAAAATAATTATGCCGGAACTAAAACTACAGAAATTCGAACCATTTATGATTTATTTTCCTTTCCGCATCTCTGTCCTCCATTTATATACATTTATTTTATCACCAATTTAAAATTCTACATCTGCTTTTCTCAACCCCTCCGTACCATGACACTTTTACTTTATAACATGATAAGTTTTAACCAAATTTATCCAATAGGTTTTTTAGTTTTTATGCAATTATGTTACCTTAACTCTGTCCTAATCCAATTAAATCCTATTTCCATATCAGACCAACCCTTATCATATGGTAACGGACAGTTCTGTTCATGCGTGTTTTTTAACATCTGTAGACGTCCCTCACACTCTGTCACACAGGATAAATAACATCACATCATAGGGAGTAGGGATTGATAGATATAAGGCCTGTGTCAAAATAAACCAGTAAAAGTGGCATGTGGAAAGCCCAGATTGTAGCAGGATAGAGAGTGAGCTGGACTATGGAGGTGACGGAACTAATGAGGGCAGTGAAATGTGAGAGACGGTAAGCTTTCCTGAAGAGATGTGTTTTCAGTGATTTCTTGAAGGACTGGAGACTAGGCTATAAAGTTTCAGTTTGTTTCACTGTTCAGTATTAGTGCATTTTCCCAATCCGACCTGTCTGCTAACTCGTGCTACGTCGTCCCCGTAATCCAAGCTTCCACTTCCTTTGAAGATTCTCTTTTCTGTTGGCTGCCTTGTGCATTACTAAAAGGCTATATATGTAACTCATATAAGCACAGGAGAAAATTTGTTCCTTTAAATGGTGACTTCTAAACAGTAACTGTTGGGGGAGAAAGAACTGTGAAGATACATTTAGTAAGGTTTACGATAACTTGACATAGCTTGAACATTTTAACATCTTACATATAGGAATGGATGAGCAACAAAGTATCATGGAAGCGGGCTAAAAAAGATTAGGGCAATTCTATCACTGAAAGGTGAGTAGTTTGGCGTAATACCTAATATATATGTGTGGTAAGTAAGTGGGTATATGTCTTGGGCAAATATGAAGGAGTGTAGTATCAAATCCACAATAACCCACTATCAGATTCTATCATTTTACTTATTACTAGACATCATGTGCAGGGTTAGGTGTTTCTTCCAATGTATTGTAAAAAGAGCAATACCCAAGCGTTTCTTTCACTTGTTCCTGTGCGTCAGAGGTTTTATATACTAGATACTTGGTTGCGAAAATCCAGGGGTGTATTTAGGGGGAGCTAGAGGGTAAAAGTCACCCACTTTGTTTTAATGCACAATATCAATAAATAGTTTTTTTAAGAAAAGTAGAAATATGGTTACAGGGCTGCCCTGACCGCCATGGCAGACTCATCAGGCTACCGCTCCTTGGATATCTAGAAAAGTTAATAATGTATTGTCTATGATGATCTTCTGTTGTCAGAGAGGTAGGTGCTATTGATCATCAGATAAACCCTGAAATTGGGTACATGAGACAGTGACTGCAGCTCCACCAACTACGGCTTAGTTCTAAGTTAAGTGCAGGAGGCGATAGACTCCCAACATAAAACTGTTAGCAATGAGGATGGTCTTTGGAACCCTGATCCCCCCTTAGGACCACTGGGGGTGATTCTGTTCCCCACTGAGGAAATTGCGTGCTGGTGTGGAGCTTGGAGGAATCGAGAAACCTGTGAAGCATGAAACAAGATGGCCTCGGGCCTTGGGTAAGCATATTCTTCATCCCAGTCGGGTACCTTCCTGATTAAATTTGATTTTATTTGTGAGCAATTTTGGGAAAAGTTTCGTACTATTATGCCTACCCTAGCAAACAGCCCCTAGGGGGTTATCCCCAGGACACAATCCACATATGTAGAGTGCCATTCAGCAAAATCAATGACAACTTACAAATCCACGCTTGCTCTATGTGCACAGTTTCCCTGGTGGGAAGAGCTTGGGTTCCTTCCGAGAGTTATCACGTCTGTAGAAACAAGGTGCCAGCTCTGTTGAAGGCCCGGGGCTGGGTTCCTCCTGGATTCTGTTGCAATGCCATTTTGAATGAATACTGCAAAAGAATGATATTAATATCAGCGTTTAGTCAATCTCCCTTTTGTTACCCATTTTCTCTTCTGTTTGCTTTTTATCCTTAGATTGATTAAAGGTAGGTTCCCCTTTTCCTTCCCTCTCTCCCTTATGCTAATGGAGCTCCTCCTTCTAGTCTCCCATAGTTGGACGCTGTATTTTTTACATTCACGTTATTAGAGGGTTATGCCCTCATCTTAGGAGCTTCACTATAGGTGGCTTGATTTACATCCGGGCTCCTAGACTCCTCTTTGTCACCCCCCCCTTTCTCCTCTTTCTCCCTCCCCCCCCCTACCTTTGCTGTAGCGTGGCCGAGCCCAGTATAGTCGGCGGGTACAGGGAGCTTTTGTTTCCTGTACCCGGCCGGACTAACAGGAAGTGAACACTCTGTGTGCACTTCCTGTTAGTCCGGCCGGGTACAGGAGACAGCTGCTCCCTGTACCAGCCGACTATACTGGGCTCGGCCACGCTACAACAGAGGGAGTGACAGGAGGGAGCGCTTTCCCTCCTGTCAGCCCCTCTCCTCAGGCTGCGCCCGGGCGGCTGCAGCATGGGAGGGGGCGGCGGGGCTGGTCATGGCACCCCCCATCCTGGTGGCACCTGGGGCGGACCCCCTCCTCCGCCCCCCCTTAGTACGCCACTGCCTATGATTGTAAACTTGAAACTTGGAACGTTTTGCAATATGAAATTCAAACAGTAAAGGAAGCATAGTTTCTTGTGTGATACCTGTTAAAAAATGTGGACCATCAGCAAGTCATTAGCAGTTAATAAAAGAGAGGAAAATGGGAAATGTATGACATGGAAATCCTACCACCAAACCTTGCATGGAACGTAGGTAGTTATGGTGCCTGGAGCACCATAAATTTTCCTTAAAAATAGATATTATTTTCTATACTATAGCTATAGAGCATTAACATGGAAAGCTGAACTGACCAAGGTATATCAACAACATGATAATGTTTAAGCATCATAGACTGCCATTGTTTACTAAATGGAAGTAATGCCTTTTGAAGTGGTCATGGTGCCTAGAGGCTGTATGTGCAGCGTTTTGTTTTGAAATGCTGCACATACAAAGATTGACCCCTCTGCTGCTGGAGATGTAACTTTATGTCCAGCCGTGTCATTTGGGTGTCACAAGTCAACCAACACACGTTCTGGGCTGAATAACCTGAATTGTTTGCAAAATCCTCCACTCAGACAGCCTTACCCCAGATACCTCCCCCTCCGGCAAGGGTGAGTGACATCAGGAAAGCAGGATCAGCCTGAGGGTAGAAGAGAAAGAGATCATTTTAAGATTTTTTTCATATTTCTTTTTTTAGTTTGGGTGGGGGGTGAGGAGGCAGACTTCCACAGAAAGGGTTACTCTAACCAAAACCATTTTCTTATGAAAACACAGTGTTTGGGCTTTAGTAAACCTTTAATTAAGCAATTTCAATACAGAACATTATGACTTCATTTGAAATTCCAGGAGTTAAATAATGTAGGAGAAATTCCTCAGAAACTTCTTACTCCAGCACATGGTTTGGCTGTTAAAAACGCCTCAGAAAAGGTCAATCTTTCTTTAACCACTAGTTTCATGAAACGATTCAATATTCTCTTTAACTATCATCAATTCCTAAACCTATCATTAACCCACAAATTATATTTTAACCCCTTAAGGACATATGACATGTGTGACACGTCATGATTCCCTTTTATTCCAGAAGTTTGGTCCTTAAGGGGTTAAACAAAAAGTGCTATCTCCTTCCCTTGACCCAGCTATGTATTTTGCACCAATCATAATGATATAAATGAATAAGTCTCACATTAAACAAGATAACCTTATACAATCATTTAGAAATAATGCGAAAAGATTGTCAATGTAGAATTTGTTAATCTCAGTACTTTGAAAAGCAGTCCCTCCCAATAGCATTGCACAAGCCCTGTTCCTATAATTTACTCGCCCCCACACAAAAGAATTTGATCAATATTTCATAATCGGAAACGCAGCACACAAGTGAAAACATTGTGTCAAATACTGTAAATGGTTTTCTATAGTTCAAGCATACCGGTTGGAAAAATTAACTACATAAGTTTAAAAATTAGCATTTTTTAAAAACTTGTTAATAGTCTCACCCTTTCCTACACTGGGACACAATAAAGAAAATGTCTGTTTTGTTATGTTTATATTACTTGTTTTAAAAAAAAAAAAAAAACATTTGCCCCAGATTTCCTCTTTGTAAGTAACACCCAAATGTATTGTTTTTTGTATTGTCCGCGTCTTTAAAGCACATGAACAGCACACAAATATAGATTGTGTCTAATAGCAGGACAACAGGCCTCCTTACCTAATGCATCTTGAGCACTAATTAACAGCAGGTTCATTCTCATTATGAGAAAATATGCAAGAATCCCTTTAAAACTGTGTTTAGTAAGGAAGAAATTAGACGCAGTGAGTGGAAAGTAAACTGCTACAAAGTTGAAAGTGTGAAGTGGTTTATTACTGGTTACTACATTGTAACAGATAAGGGTTGCACTAAACTACTTGGAGGAATGTTTTAACAGGAGCAGCTGGGGCAGTTGAGCAAACGTCTGTTTGTTAAGGCTTAAAGGACCACTATAGTGCCAGGAAAACAAACTCGTTTTCCTGGCACTATAGTCCCCTGAGGGTGCCCCCACCCTCATGGCCCCCCTCCCGCCGGGCTGAAGGGTGAGGAAGGGGGTTAAATGCTCACCTTTCTCCAGCGCCGGGCTCCCTCGGCGCTGGGGACTCTCCTTCTCCTTTGGTCGTCATCAGCTGAATGTGCATAAGCGGCAAGAGCCGCGCGCGCATTCAGCCAGTCCATAGGAAAGCATTCTGAATGCTTTCCTATGGACGGTGGCGTCTTCTCACTGTGAAAATCACAGTGAGAAGCGCGGAAGTGCCTCTAGCGGCTGTCAATGAGACAACCACTAGAGGCTGGATTAACCCTAAAATAAACATAGCAGTTTCTCTTTGTTTACAGCAAGTAGGGTCAATCCTAGATAGACCTGGCACCCAGAACACCTCATTAAGCTGAAGTGGTCTGGGTGCCTATAGTGGTCCTTAATTGGAAGCAGGGGAACATTAACTATTAAACGGAGAAACTTTTGGTTGTAAGAGAAATGATATCACTAGTTTTTTTATTTGTTTTAGTGATTTTTCTAGAAGCAAGGTGGATAAGCAATATAGCAAGGATTGTTTTCATTGTCTGGTTTAAGCTTGATCCACCAAGGGACTTTGGACACCATCAAAACAGTTATGTCTAAGTCCATTATGATCACAGCAGAACAAATAAGATATATAAACAGCTGGTATATTGAACCATGTTTGCTCAATAGCAAAGCAGGGTAAATAGCTCTATAATGAAACATATGGAAGGAAATTAGTCACAATGTAAACAATAAGACAAGTGTATTGGGGAAACTGACAAACAATCTAAACTTGGATATCTGAACACCGAGCATAGAACAAAACATTAAAGGAAAGGATTGAAAAGCAAAATGGGAACCCAAAGGTGCAAACTGGTCCTTAAATTGTCTGGAGATAAAAAGAAGATAAGGAAACGCAAACAGGCTTGTCAAAAATGATCTGGGTACAAGAGAGCAACAAGATGGATGCACGCTCAATATCAGATGAAATGGCAACCTACAAAACATTCAGAGTAACCAGGAATACACTTAGGTAGCCAGCACTGCGTAAGGGAGTCGTAGTCTATATGATACAGGTATTCATAATGTCTGAAGTCAGCAATTGCTTGAGAAACGCTCTTTCTCAAGCATTTTGATTTTATTCAAAAATTCGACCTTCGACCTTCTCCAATTTTGTGCCCAGTCCGTTACTTTATTGGATTCATGAGTGGAGTCTACTCTGGGATGGGGCAGTTGAGTGGTCCCTAGACGTATGCCTTCTTTTGTTAATACCTAGTGGAGTAATTGACAGATCTGATATAACTTGATGCATGTTCAATGGAGACACACCTGTCCATAATACATTTGTTCAATATGAGATGAGAGGTTTATAGGCTTTACGTAAATGTGATTTAGTGTGGAGTAATTTGTGTGGACATGTTATTTATTAGTGAGCAACTCGTGGACAATACAAAGGTGGCTGCAGTAATCTCAGTGAGCGAGATCCAGCTGGACCTCCCACAAATTTAATTTCTAACCAATTATTAATATAAGGAAACAGGGCAGAAGAGTGATTCAATTATATCTCACGTAATTTATCAAAAACTTAATAATTAACTCAATGTTTCTATGGCCACATTGTTTTAATGACTTGATACGAGTAATAATCATTGATTAAAAATTATAAAAAAAAAAAACTTTCACTTTCCTGGGAATTAAAATACTGTAAATGCATTGCAAAATATATTAATCAAATAATATTGTGGCATTAGCTACTGCAATGAACAATGGGGTTTAATGTAGGTCTCTAAAGGGAAATGATTACAATATTACACTTTTCTACAGTTTATAGTTTCTATATTGACATTATAGTCACCTAGACCACTTCATCTTATTGAAGAGGTCTGTGTGCAGTGTACAAATTTTAGAGAAACTACAATGCTTACAATGCAGGGTTAAGACAGCCACGAAAGGAGCGTTCTGTGCTTTCATAGAGTTTTACTGCGTGAAACGACATTGGACGTCAAAATCCCAACTGGTAAGAATTGATTCAATGCTGTCCTATGAGGAAGCTCTAATGAACGTGTGGCGCTTGCCGCGCATGCTCAATATGTCACCCCATGAGCCTTACACTGCTGGAGGAAGACATGCTGCTCTAGCACAGTGATGACTAACCTTGACAGCATAAATAGTTTCGTGACTACATTTCCCATGATGCTCAGCTAGCTTTTAGACATTTTGTATTCCTAATTTTATAGTTTTCCTTTAATAGGTGGCAACTTTGTTTCAGGGACGATGCAAGTGAGTAAACTTGGCTGTTTCCCTATGAATATGAAAATATCCAAACTATTTTAACATATGCTGTCCAGCAATAGCAATTTGAGAGCTCTGATGTTTAAGGAAAGGTGGGTGATTAATGGGGTTGGTGATGTAAATGTGACTCCCACCAACATTAAGAAGCAGAATAATGATTATTGTGGTATCAATATATATGTTTCGGCTGCAGAACCAAAAAGCCACTTCAAAATTCACATTTGATCCTTTAGATACAGTGAAGTCTAAAGGATTCAATTTGGATTCTGAAGTGACTTCTATCTTTTTCTAACAGTTTTTGCCCAAATCTATAAAGGACTTATAAAACATATGGAATAACAAAGATGCCATTGAAATGCATTCCGGAAAATAGGTCAGACATGACCATGTAGTGATATTGGATGCAACTAAGAAGGCATGCATGCGTGGATGAACATTTGAGGAAGTCCACTTTAGATGAACGCACTGAAAAGAATGGGCTAGTGCTTTATAAACATGGAAGATCTGCACTTAACACGTTGTGAGAATGGTTTATTTGTGCTTTCTGTAAGTGTTCCCTTTTAAATATTTCTTGGTCAATAACTATTATTTTGAACATTTCTTCAGACCTGCATCCTTGGATCCTGGGGGATACTCTAGTCATTGAGAGTGAATTGGAGATTTCCTGTTATATCTTTTATTTTATTTTATTTTTTTTGGAACACTTAACGATAGAGCTTGCGACAAGTGGCTCAGCAGTATGTGAGTACAAATTATGTATATATATATATTTGTATATATTAAAGAATACTCCATGAGATGTATATGATTTAATGTAGGTCCTCATGTTTTTGGAATTAAAGGTAACATTGCTGGTTATTCTTTTTTTTTTATAAGTTTTTATTGTCATTTTTCATATTCGACAAACATTTAGCAGGTATACATTACTCGGAAATCAGTTCACAATCTAGTATATTATAAACCACAATATCATATAAAGTTTACGGCCTAAAATTCTAATATGTATCCTTCAGCTTTAATCTATATAAATATAGGCCTAAGGTATACTCCTGGTCGTAAAGACTGGTTCCAAGTAGTTGAATAACAGACTTACATAGGTCTCTAACATAAAAAACATAAAAAAACATCATACAAGCATACGGGTGTAGGATCAACTGTCTAAAATAGGAAAGGTGGGCGGTGAATATATTACTTCTTTAATAAGTTAAATCATTAGAGCCTTCTTTGGAAAGTTTATAGTAGTATGTCAGATAAGGGTGGTTTATACCAAGGTCATAAATTTACTAAGGTGTAGAAAACGTATTCTTTATAATAGTCGTACACTGCTGGTTATTCTGTGTGAGCTTTTCACCTATATTTGGTAAATAAATGAAAATTTGATTACATGTGTCCTACAAACAGTAATAATTCTTAATATCTTCTATAAAGATTCTGCAACTTGTCAATGAATAAATAAACTGCAAATTATCACAAGTATTTTTTTTATTATTATTGTTTTCCTTTTTATATATTTTTTTTATTTTTGACACAGACACAAGTATACATACAAAGTATAACGATCCATCTTACAAATAATAATTTACTTTTAAAGGGATAATTTTTCCTAGCATGCATCTACAATGTTTTTGTACGCTATATAAATATTTGAATACTAGAATAAAATCCACAATTTGCTCCAACCGTTCAATTAGGAGTGCAAAAAGAAGTATTAACATGTGGTGGACATGTACATACGCATACACTCGATCCCCACCGGGCTGTGTAGGCAAAGCAGCTGACAGCCTTGTTGAGACTTGCTTACACGGTGTTGTCACAATATGTACCATCACACATAAACTAATACAAAATGTGAAATGGGTAGTTGATCACTACAGTTAATGAGATTAATAATAAAAAACAAGTAGCTAATTTATCGCGTTCACAGTTCACCCTCTCCAAGTCTCAATATTTGTTGATTGGGAAGAAAATAAACAAACAAAAAAAATTTAAAATTACACTTGCTCTTGTTTAGTTCCATTGGGAAAGGTAAAGTAATTCTTGACCCTAGGGGGAAATCGGATAGTACTTTAATATAATATAATATTAGTTGGCCGAATTGGTCCACCAGAAAATCAAATTTAGCTTGGTGGTCCGAAATCCATTTATAGAACATTTCAGTTTGGATGAATTTCAGCTGAGCAAACGATTCAGGAAAAAATACATTTGTGCAAATAGGTCAATCAGTGTGCTACTAAATATATACACAATATACATATATCATTATTATACACTGATGGGGCATTTTCCTAGCGTTTGGTTCATGGTTCAAAAGAGAAGAAGTAACTGACAGAGAGGAAAAAAGAAGAAGCAATAAAATATATATATATATATATATATATATATATACATATATAGATAGAAAGTCAAAAATTTTGGGTGCTTGATCAGTTGTCTTTTGTAATAGATGATCGTGTATGAACCCAAATAAAATAAATAATTTAATAATATATACAGGCATATGTACAAATAAAGATTTATTTTTTGCTACTAATCCTCTTTTTCCCTCTACTGGTCACTTCTCACTTGATCTGTAAGAAAAGTCAACATGAATGGTTGTCCCCTAGCCATCAATCATCTTTTTTCCCATCAATCATCTCTTTCTTTTTTTTGTTGGGTGGGACAGCATGGGACGAGATTCTAAATCACGAATCAAATGAAACGGCTCTTTTATTGCTCATTTAGTTTGTTTTGTGTTTCAGTCATATGGGAATTTGCAGTTACCGAATTTTGGACGACCCACCGATCACTCAAAATTTGGATGAATCGCGATTCCTTTGCAACGGAATGCACAAGCCTTATTCTGAGAGCAGGTCTGAACTAACTTTAATCTTCTCCTAATACTAAGTGCCATCACTAAATATCACTAATCCTTAACCATAAATATCCCAGATCCAGAATCTTTAAGCATCACAGAATCTTCACCTAAACAATAATTTTCTAAATTATGACCAAACTGTGTTCACTGCTCACTGGTCTCTTAATCATCTTCATGTCTTTTAACTCATTACTGGTTTTGTGCCTAAAACTCCTGGGTTTGTGCCTACAACTCCTGGGTGGGTGTCTACAACTCCTTGGTGTGTACCTACAACTCCTGGGTGGGTGCCTACAACTCCTGGGTGGGTACCTACAACTCCTGGCTGGGTGCCTACAACTCCTGGGTGGGTGCCTACAACTTCTGGGTGGGTACCTACAACTCCTGGGTGGGTGCCTACAACTTCTAAGTGGTTGCCTACAACTCCTGGGTGGGTGCCTACAACTTCTGGGTGGATGCCTACAACTCTTGAGTTTGTGTCTACAACTTCTGGGTGGGTGCCTACAACTCCTGGGTGGGTGCCTACAACTTCTAGGTGGTTGCCTACAACTTCTGGGTGGGTGCCTACAACTCTTGAGTTTGTGCCTACAACTTCTGGGTGGGTGCCTACAATTCCTGGGTGGGTGCCTACAATGACAGGGTTCAAACCTAGCCCACTGTAATTCAACAAAACCAAATTGGAGGAGGCTCATCATCTTATCTTCAAAATGACTTTATTACGACACATAAGGAATAAAAACACAGTCTTACTGTCTTAATCATGCATGACATCATAATCAACCAGGTGGTGTTTAACTAGTTATTACAAAAGGTCACATGACCACATGTTTACAAAATTATCACTCAAATAATGCTGCACATGTTTTTATAAATGTCTGCAATAATGCTGCTGTTTTATGAATAAAGAGTCATTGCAGTGTTACTCGGTTGATGCTTAAAAGTTTGAACTTGTATAGTGTTATTTACTAAAGTGAGAATTCAAAGTGCATTCAAAGTCAGCTGATCTTCCAGTTTAGATACTCTAGCCTTAAACTGAAAATTCACTTTGAAATTACACTGAACAAAATTATAAACTCAACACTTTTGTTTTTGCCCCCATTTTTCATGAGCTGAACTCAAAGACCTAAGACTTTTTTTATGTACACAAAAGTCCTATTTCTCTCCAATATTGTTTACAAATCTGACTAAATGGTAAAATTTTGCATTACCCCGATAATCACATTTTCACTTCATCAAATATTTTTTCTGAATAGCTTCCACAGATGAAATGTGTTGGAATTGAAATGTCCTATGAATGAATTTCGGATCATCAAACTAAATTATATTTTCTGACAAACCAATGCGTTTGGTCTACATAATACATCTTATGTATGAAATTTGTCTGAACCCAAAACGCCACATGGATGAAATTTGATCTGTCTGAACAAAAAAAATAAATCTCAGATGGCTTTGGTTCATACAAAACTTAATTTTTTCTAATACCAACCACCACTTGGCATTTTCCATTTTGCTAACTGGACAATAATATGTTTTTTTTTCCAATAATTGCCATAGCAACACGACCAGGAAACTATAAATGGTTCACTCAGTACATTACCCTTAAAAGTTCGTACCTAAATTGAAAACCAAATTGCAAACTTTATCCTTAATGTGATGCTTTGTCATGTTTCTAAAACTAGTTGTAGTTCCAGCTTCACTATTATAGCCTAAATGTTTCAATTACGTTCTCAGTTCACTAAAATTCCCTGTTTAGTAAATAATCCCTTATTGTTTTCAAACACCCCCAAAATACAATATTTCATAGGTATTCATTAAAAACTTTATAGACCATGTGTATAGATAGGCTTTGGTGTTTAAAGGGACACACCAGGCACCCTGACGACTTTCGCCCATTGGAGTGGTCTGGGTGCCAACTCACATCACCCTTAACCCTGCAAGTGTAATTATTGCAGATTTTATAAACTGTAATATTTATCTTGCAGGGTTAAGTCCTCCTCTAGTGGCTGTCTACCAGAGAGCCACTAGAGGAACGTCTGGATTCTTAAAACCCAAAAAGTGTTTTAAATAACGCTGGAGGGGGCGGAGCTAACTCACGATCGGAGCGGTCGCATGTCCGCAGAGCTCCGTCGAAAAAGCATAACAAAACATGAAAAAGGTACCTTTCTGGAGCCCAATTTGCCCTGGATATAGCTGACTGCGCTTGTAAGCAGATGGGGTGGAAGAATAAAAAACCGAGGTCGGACCGGCCCGGGAACATGGCTGACATCAGTGAACTCTTTAGAAGGCCGCACAGTGCAAGCGGGCTGGAAATGGCGGACATTCTGGACGATTTCTCCAACGTCTCGGAAGAGTTCACCCCGCATAACCCAGCAGCCCTTGGCTTCCAGGGACCCCCCAGGCCACCTCCGGAGGTAGACAGCAGCTCAATCCCACTAACCACAACCATCCTTACTAAACATTTGGCTGACCTCCGACAAAGTCTTTCTGCAGATATATCCCAAGTACGGGAGGATGTCAGGGGATTCACAGCCCGTTTAACCACGGTGGAACAAGCAGTGGAGGAGCACACTCCCCAAATCGCAGACCTGCAGAAGCAGGTGAGGGACCTCACCACGGCTCAGGCTAACTTTGACAGCCAGCTAGC